AAGCCCCCCTAACCCCAAACCCTAAACCCTAAACCCTAAAACCCTAAACCCTAAAACCCTCCTAAACCCCAAAACCCTCCTAAACCCCAAAACCCAATCCCCCCTGGGCAGCGGCCTCCGCCCAGTCACAGGGCTGAGCTCCAGGACAGTCCAAGGCCCCATGGATTCAACCTGGCCCCCTAGGGATATATGAGCTGTATTCAACACTTCTTAGAGGAGGTTATATAGGGGAGCTCTATACGGGGTTTGAAGGGGGGTACACGGAGTTTAGACTATGGCTCATTTGGGATTTGAGGTTTAGGGTTTGAGGGTTGGATGCTATAGGGGTTCTATGGGGCGATTCTAGGGATTCGATAGCGGTATAATAAGATTCAAGGTCAAGGATTTCGGGGTTTAGGGGTGTAAGGGTCAGGGATTTGGGCTTTAGGCTTTAGGTGCTTGGGGGTTAAGAAGTTTAGATTTGGGGGGTTAAGGTTTAGTGGCGCGAGATTGAGGGGTTTTGGATTTTGGCACCTGGCACTGAAGTTTTTCAAGCTGTCGAGCTTCTGTAGTTGAGAAAACTTCTGTACGGAGGTGAGGCTTAGTAGGGTATTGAAGAGCCGTTGCTGTCCCCAACCGCAACCTCCAAACTCTACACCCGGAAGCCCTCACCCCTAATTTTGCGGTTTAGGCTTCAGCACCCCGATCTCAAGCTCCTAAACCCCAATCCCTCTCGCCCCGCCACAGCCAACTTCGAATACTTGACTACCCTGAAACAAGGCCTTCTGGTTTATAGTCTCCCTTAAGTAGCTAGAAGACGACTTTGGGTATTTCATAGTAAGATCCCCTATACCCCATATTCTATCTACTTCAGGGGGACTATAGGAGCGTAAACCGCCATTTGGGTTGTCGTGAGGCAAGGTCACTATGACCCTTTTCAAGGTCTCTTGACCCCACCCGCTCAATCCCGAAACCGTAAACTCTGAACCCTACACCATACACCTTAAACCTTAACTTCAAGGCACTCAACGCCACACCTGTCAGCGTAAACTCCACACCTCAACCTAAACCTCAAAGCGCTACTTTCCAAACCCTACATTCGAAACCCACAACTCCCAAAATCCCAGAACACTTCACTCAGCCTCCATAGCAACCACACATCCTATACCCTTGGGCCCAAACCCTAAACCCTAAACCCCTAAACCCTATACCCTTACGCCTAAACCCTAAGCCCTCCCAACCCATTAGGACCGCAGCTTCCTTCATCTTAGGGTTGAGGCTTTAGGGTAGGTTCACAGCCTTAGAGCCAAAATGATCCGCCCAAGCCCTCTAGTCCCCCTTAAGGAGATAGAATGTGGGGCATATGGGATTTTGGTTATAACATACCCAAAGCCATATTCTGATCACCTTAAGGGGGACTATACCCTAAACCCTAAATTGTAGTTTCCATTTTCTTTTCCAATATTGCTCTATAACCCCTATAATCCCTGTAGTTTCCAGTTTCTGTTCCGTTCTAACCCCCAAACCTCACCCCGCCTCCCGCCCCAAAGTGAGGCACTCTCGGGAGCCCAGCGGCGCCCGGATGCGAAAGTCCCAGGTTCCACCTCCAACGCCTCCTCCCGCCGGTGCCTGACGTTGTTTCAACTTAGGGTTTAGGATTTGGGGTTTAGGATTTAGGGTTTAGGATTTAGGGTTTGGGGTTTGGGTCTTAGGGTTTTGGAACTAAGGTTTGTAATAAGCTGGCAAGATGAAATTGAGCATGAAATGGGACCTGGGCTTGTATAGAGGTCTATGGAGTGGGTTACAATGTAGAGGCCCAAATACTTAGAATCGGGTCTAGAGGTTTGTTTTGCGAAAGTTATGTGAGACATGTATGGGAATAATATTGGTAATAGTTACAACTCCTACCCACGGCATTGGCAATGTATATAGACGCCTGAATAATCGCAAAGATCATGCTGAAGTCTAATTTGGCCACCCTACACCAAAATCGTGATTACACAAGGAGTCTAGGACCATAATGTTGGAAATTACTGAGGCATCTAGCTTTAGCGTGAAGGGCTTCGGGATACAGGAGGTCGTAATATCTAAGGTATTAAGGGTTTAGGGCTTGCGTTTTTGTCAGCACTCAATGGCTGGAATCAAATTCGGCTCGGCAAGCCTTACACTCGTACATGGCGGTTTCTCCTAAACCCTAAACCCTAAACCCTGAAAGGGGGAAACCGGGATTATATGGGTAGCCCTGAAGGGTTCTACAGGGATGACGTCGAGAAAACTGTCACAGATTTCGCGCACACTCGGGGATGTAGGGCTATATAGGGACTATTCTAGGGCTAATGGAAAAGAAAATGGAAACTACTATTTGGGGTTTAGGGTTTGGGGTCTATACACGTGTGGGGTTGAGGGCTTGAGGGTTTGGGGGTTTTGGATTTACGCTTTGATCTGTCTTTGCCCCAAGACCGATGCTGGTACGGATAGCGCTTTCAGGCTGTTGAACCAAGTAAGGTAAAGCCACTTCTTAGAAAGTTGTATATCTGAAAGGAGGACACACCCTTACTCTATAATGCTGCGACTACAACTTCCCAAAGCCACATCCTACTCACCTAATGCTGCTGCTGCTGCTGCTGCTGCTGCTGCTGCTGCTGCAGAACCCCGGCCTCCACAAGCGACTGTGTACCAACACGCGGGCGCCCGTGGACCACAGCAAGGTAAACCTCGCAGCAAGCAAGCGTGATATGAAAATCCTTCATAACATGAAGATGACTCGGGATATATAGGCTTATATAGGGTGATATAGGGATTACTATAGGGATAATGGAAAAGAAAATGGAAACTATCTATTTAGGTTTAGCGCCTGAACCAAAGCAGACAGGAGAGGAGGAGGAGATGAAGAGGAGGAGGAGGGGTAGCAGCAGGAGTACAGAACAAGCAGATGTGGCGGGGTGGTACTGGTAGTGGTAGGAGAAACTAGTTAGAGGGTTTAGGGTTTATAGGGTTTAGGGTTTAGGGTATTAGAGGTAGAAGTTGGAGCAGGAATAAGAGTAGCAGCAAAGAAGCGGCTGGGATTGTCTTTCTTCTTGTGCTGGAAGTAGTAGGAAGCAGAATCAGAGAATGGCAACAGCACGTGTTTCGTTCTCTCGCGTTTAAGGTGAAAGGTTCAGGGTTGAGGGGTGCGGAAAGGGGGCCGGGCTCCAGGTGTAATGGTGGTTGCTATTGTGGGATTAAAAACCCCCTTAGATCCCCTTAGTTATATAGAATATGGGGTATATGGGGATCTTAGTATAATATACCCAAAGTCAGATTCTATCTACTTAAGGGGGATTATACAAACTTGTAAGGTACAGGTAATCCTTTCAACTTGCCGAGGCGTATCTGGTTTCCGGGCGTTTGGAATCCTTTAAAAGGGGTTTACGTACACTCCGTATGATTGAGCACCGCTTTCTGTGCACCCAACAGCCGAGGCGGGTGCGCGATAGCAATTTACAATGAATATCAAATGTCACCCAAGCCCAAACATTGCATATTTCCTGCAAAACACCTATATGGGAAATGGCACCATTCCTTCAGCCTTTGCTAAGCTGCTAATCAGAAGTAAGCTTAATCTTTGCAAAGCCTGAGCAGCCTAAGCTTGACCCCCGAACTGACAGGCCTTACGCGCGAAAAGTCCATCCCCAAAACAAACTCTAAGCCTGAAGCACTACAAATGCATCCCCAAACCTGAGACCCCCTAAAACCCAAACCCTAAACCTTAAACTCTAAACCTGAACCCTTCAACGCGAAGCCCGAATACTTGAAGCCCAAACCCTGGCCCTAAGCACAGGCCTTGGAGATGTGATTCCTGGCATCAGGCCATTTAGGGTTCAGTGTTTAGGGTGCAGGGTTGAGGGCTTAGGACTTAGGACTTAGGGTTTAGGGCTTCAGGCTTAGAATTTAGGATCATTCTGCTCGGAGGCTGAAGGCTCGGGGTTTAGGTCTTTGGGTGTATATGCTGGGAACAGAATGCAGGCACAAAAACATCTGCAGTCGCGCTTCGCGCGTATCTACATGCGTTACAGGCCGAATTTCCCATATTATTCATGAACAAGGGATCCCATCAATCAGGGAATATGTGAGGGACTATACTAACCTGCTAAAGGTGCCCCTATGTTCACCCTTACAGGTCACTTCCCTAAACCCCAAGCCCTAAATCTCGAACCCTATGGCTGGGGGCAACAACCTAAATAAGCTCCGCACACCCCTACCGCGAAACATCGAACCCCAACTCCCATCCCTGCCGACCAAATCCTAAGCCCAAAACACCCTGGAATAGCCAAATGATAGGGGTTCCAGGCCTTGAAGTAAAGCCATTTGGGAACCAGCTTCCATATCAACTACGCCTTAGTGTGAGTTAATATTTAGGTCTGGAACAATGTGTCCGTACAAGGGCCCTTCAGGCGGCATCCACTACATGTCGGCAATCCAATCTAATCAAGGCGGTTTAGGGTTTAGGGTTTAGGGTTCAGGGTTTAAGGTTTAGGGTTTAGGGTTTAGGGTTTAGGGTTTAGGGATCAGGGTTTAGGGACCCAGGCAAAACGGTAGCGTAGCGGCCCATTCTGGGGGTCCATGGTTACGTCCTCAGGCTAAAATTTCCCCATCCCGGCACTATACATACCCACGCCCTAAACCCTAAACCCTAAACTACTATAACCCCAACAACGATACTTTACTCTACTACACCATACTTTCATCCACTGTACTGTACTATAACATATCCCCATCTACAACATCATATGATACCATGTAATATGATATACTAAACTAGAATATACTACGGTATAGCAGACTTTTCTCAGCCTCTTCTGCGCTACAGACGCCCTAGACCCTACACTCCCCCAAACTAACATGGAAACCCATACAGCCCCCTTTTAGAAGGCCTGTAATCTTTATAGGGCCCTTTTTGGGTTTCCATGCTAGTTTCCGGGACCCTAAACCCTGCAGTACGGGAAGGCATCCAACCCTAAACCCTAAACCCCAAACCCTAAACCCTAAACCCTAAACCCCAAACCCTAAACCCTAAACTCTAAACCCTAAACCCTGCAGTGCGGGAAGGCAGCCAACCTTGCCTAGACGAGAGCCACTGCGTCAGCCTCCTGTGGCAGGAGCTTGTCTTGGCGAGAAGCATCCTGAGATGTAAGGCTTAGGGTTTTAGGGTT